ACATCAAATGGGTGCTTGATGAAGACGAAAATGACCGACTGAAGGAACTCCTGTGCGGTGGCAGAGAACAGCCAAGACAACGCAAGAATACTGGAGCCTGCAGACGTGAGTACACCAGCAGCCGAGGTGGAAATCAAGGTCAAGAACACGATCAGGGTAATGATAACCACGAAGAATTCCAGGATGTTGTCGAGTCTTCCAACAACAGAGTCAAGATCCTTCAAGGACGCAGTGATTGCTTTGCGTTCGCGTCCAATCTCCACGCACACAGACTCCAATTCTTCCATGGAGATATCTCCGTTCATGTCTTTGTCGAACATAGTAAAGGCAGCTTCGGCTTCGTCATTGTTATCAAACGCTTCCTTCAGATCGCCGGAGAAAACGGTCTCAAAGCCATCCCGCACGAGGGTCCGGTAGAGTCGCCGAGCCAAAACCTGGCAACCGCTGGTGGTTCGCAGCAAAGCCAGCACAACCTGGTAAGGGTGGTTGCTGTTGGTGGCTGTGCGACCAGTGAAGTCCGCTGCAACTGCGCCGGCCACATCACCGACCTTGGTAAAGGCACCCTTAGCAAGACGTCCCGCTTTACCAGCGTAATGGAACGGGATCTTAAGGCCGTTATTAGAACCGGGCTGTTTTTGTTCCTCAAACTCCTTGTCCTTGGCAGTGATTTTCCTCCGCGAGAATTCGTATAATTTGGTCAAGCTGCCAATTTGGAACTTATTGATCTCAATTCGGTCGGCATAAGTACGCGTGTGGAAGCTGATGGCAATAAGCTGAATGATGAATTTCTCCACCAGGTTGAGGATCGTCCAGACGAAGACGGAAATGATAATCTTGTTGAGCGTATTTTCCCAGGAGCGCGTAGTATGATTTCCGTCCACGTGATGATTCTTCATTGTGGGCAGAAACGAAATTTCGACACCCAACCACCAGAAGAAAAGAGTTGCATGCAGCTCCAATTGCTTGGCAAGATCACGCCATTTCTTCGCATTGTTGGTGAAGATACTAGCGAGCGCGTTCACAGGTATAGGGATCAGCTTGGAGACGATCTGTCCAGAATCGAATTAGCAATGAGGCGATGGCTAAACAGACAACGATATCACAAGTACTCACTCTTCCAGCCCACAATGTCAACCAGACGATTTCCAGCCAGACTGAAAACCAAACCAGCCGGACACCTCCGACACTGGCATTAGGATAAGCCAGCGCGCCAACCAACAACGGAATGAGTAGGATGATCACAAGAGGCAGGATGTAGGTAAGGTAACGGATGATGAAACTCGATTCATGGAGTCTCTTGACGAATCTGGCAATGTTGGTATTGGGATTCTCGGGTGGATTGTAAACTGCAGCTTTCTCATGCAGCGGATTGGTGGCCTCGTCAAACTCGTCGACATGTTCGTTAGGGCGCGAGCGAGAACGTGACCGCGAGCGAGAGGTGGATGGACGGCCGTCGTGAACACTCTTTTTCGACTCTGCCTCTTGCGTGGAGCGCGAAACCATCCGTTCTGCTTCCATAACTGCCAGGTCGTCTTCGAGACGCGTAGATTCTTCTCTCGCAGTGACCGGAGAGGCCAGGGCGGTCCTATCCAAGTCATTGTAAGAAGTGTCCACTCTCAGGTGGTTTCCGTTACTGGCACCGTCATAGACGTAAGTGCCTTCGTCCGAGTCAGGAGTTCCATCGTCCGATCTGTGCTTGCTCTTCTCTTCCAGATGATCAGGAGCAAGATGATCTCCCATGGAGGTCGACATTTTGGCACCAGGCCAAGAGTCGACAGCGAAGGGCTAGATTACAGGCTGACCAGCCTTGAGGTTATAGATCGATCTGATCCGGAATCGACTAGATGCTGGGTAAGTTAGACCGATGTCGATCAAGAGGAGGCCATGCAAAGGCTCGACTACAAACACATAGTGAAGGATGGAAGAATAAAAAGGATAGGCAAAATGAAGAGAAACAACCTGGATAATAAAAGAGGGTCTGGTGCAAGCGAGAAAAAGCACGAGCAAGGGCGACGACTGACCTACACTGGTGGGAATTCCTTCCGAAAACCAACAAAGCTAATGATGCATTGACTCTGGCCGGTGGGCTCAAAGAGGAACGGGAGATAAGCGGGCACTAGTAGGATTGTGCAGACGGAGGAAAAGGAAAAATGCACAGAAACAAGCAGGAGAAGATGGAGATGCAGGAAGGAAGAAGAAAAGAGAGTAATGACAAGAGGAGGAGAGGAATAGGACAGAGTGTAGGGTGGGGAGCCCGTGAAAAGAAAAGAAAAAGACAAAAAGACAGAAAGAAAAGACAGAAAGGTACCAGACCAAATGAGACTGGACCTTGGTTCGACAATTCGACAGCAGCAGAGCAGAAGGAGGAGGAGATCGATGCGGGCGAGATGCCGATCGCACGGGACAATTAAACCAACTGGAGATTCAATGACTGAAGGTTTGGCAAAGTCCAGACCATTTCTATTCCTAGTCGAGTCAAGGCTTCGGTTATGCACTTGAGTATTTCTCAAAAGACCATTTTATAAACACCATCCTATATGCCTGTTTACAAGGGACAAAGTCGGCAATTCCCGTTGTCGATTGACCATCTACCCTGGGAACTATCTCAGCCCATGCACCCTAACAATGGGCGGAACTTATCAGAGGGTGGCCGCGGGTGGCGGTCATTCTACGATCCAAGACCTCGATCGATATGGATCCCACTGCTAGACTATCCATTCAGTGGGCGTGCCCTCAGCATCGGTTCTGGCCCAGTGGCGCCCAGTGGGTCCGAGTCATCTAACGTTAGAAACTTCAAACGGGTCCAAAGAAAAACTCTGGGACCCAGTGTACCCTTCATGCTAACCCAAACTACCTGCGTTAGCTCCTCCATCGTTGCAGCCTTAGTCTGGTGTCTCACAGCGAGACTTGCGTTACCTGAGAGGGAGAGGGGGGGCTGCTTGGCATTTCGCGGGATTTGGTCCTGCAGCGGGCTTACAGATAAGGGAGATTATTCGGATTTTATGTAGGAGACTTTTTTTTTTTTTTTTTTTTTTTCCTACCTCACTTCGGAGATGCAAAATCCGCTGACTGACCGTGGGAGGGTTCCAGACAGATGTCAAGTCTGGAAAGGGAGACCAAAATGATGTTATCTCTCCTCCAGCGATTATTCTCCGAAGTCTTGAACGCAATAAATGTGGAAAGGGCAAAAAGTGGCCACCGCCAAGAAACGCCACATCAGGCACTCCCGGGCTGTCCTCCCAGCTGTGCACAAAGTCTTGCACAAAGTCATCATCTTCATTGATCCTTGGGTCAGCACTTACGTACGTGGGAGACCAATCTCGAAAATCTTTTGCGCCCCCTGCGCAGATTGCCTATGTCTTTCACCTGGACTCTATACAGAAATTTGGACGTCATGTCCGGTTACTGTCCTAGCAGAAATCTTCACGATTTCTTTCGCTGCCATTCATCTTAATAGGGATATTATGGTTTGCTAGGCGCGAGTCAGTGCAGTCTATAGCTTCAACACTAGTATATGGCGCTAAGCCTGGAGGATTCCACCATAGACACCATCTGAGTCTTGACGTCTCAAAAACCTGATTTCTACACACTAGTGTTTTTGCAACCAACCAATCCTCTACATCAGTCTTAGATGGATGATTGAGACCGCCTCTTATGATAGGTGACAAAGGAGGGACGCGGCTAACCTGCCGAAATATTATACCTACCCAGCATGATATTCGGAGTTACAAAACGCTATTCTGATAGGCTTGTGCAATTGGCAGTTGTATGTGCATAGTTATGCTCCTGCTTACCTCCATCCTCCATTATATGCAACATCCAACATCCACTCACCCATCACAATTGTCAAAGAGTCGATCTCGATTGGGCTATCAGCCCTCTACATCATTGCGTTTGACCACGCGAATTCCATTGGCAGGTCCGCTCCCGGCTGTTGACGTGTCTTGCCCCGCCATGTCCACTGAAGATCGCCGCGGTCATCTGCACGGTAGATGGGAAGGCCATGATAACCGTAAATGGAAGCTTATGAATTATGCTTACGATGTTCAAATCATCGAAGCGCAAGGACCATCTCAGTCACTCTGTAAATCGTAACAGGGTATCCATCGATAACGGTTTGCCGTTTCAACAACAACTTGGCCGCATTGATTTCCATCTACCTGCCAGTGTTCAAGTGTTCCATACCGCCAGCAATACAAGCCAAACTCTGTGATCGGGTCATTCGTGACTAGTCATTCTGCCTGCCTGCCTGTTCTCCGGCTCTTGTTAGCCCGTGCAACTAAAGAATCTGTAGGCGTAGATGGGTGCATAGTAGGCATGGGGTAGGGGCAGAGTGCGGGGAAGATCGACAGTGAACATTTCCATACTATCTCTTTCCATCAGATGTCCGTAGCATCCTACTCGCCCCTCTGAGTAGATCTACGGTGTACTCCATACAGATAAGTATTGCAAAGCCAGCAGGGGCATCGCAGCTACCCCTGGTCTGTGCAGGTCAAACCGCTGTCACACATCACGATTCCCAAGGATGGTTTCCCCGCATTCCACGGCAGGAGGCACGTGGAGTGTAGAGGATTCCGCGATGACGGAGAAGGCATGGAATAGGAAGGAAAGAACTCCGTGGTCGATAGAGTGTAATTCTATGATTCTCTGAAGTATCGAGGCGCCAAAACTTTTGGTGTCCGTTATACTGGGAGGAAGCAGACCGAGTTAGTCAAATTCACGTGCTGATCGACTGATCGGTCGGGAGCAGAAGGGCAGCTGATTGGTCCAATGCGCCTTGTCTTGTTTATTGGACCGGCAAGAACGACTGATGCTCTCTCCTTCCATCCTCCATCCTATTGATCCAGAAACTCCCTCATCCTCCATCTCTTTCCCCTCTTCTTCTTCCATCATCCTCTGGGGTTGCAAGTCTACTGCTTGTCATCCCAGTTCATCACCTTGACACCGCTGGGCGAATCCCTTGCGTCTGTTTACAACGATAACCGGACCCATTCTCCAACATGCGAGGCGAGGTATACCCCCCCCCCCGTTCTATTTACCTTTGGACCCCCGCACCGTCACCCCCTCCCCTTATCCATAAACATCCAATTCCACAACCTCATGCACCGACACTCGTTCAACTGCCTAATCGAAGCTTAACATTGCTCTATTCTAACTATTGCTTTCCTTCAGGTCTGCCACATCCACATCGGCCAGGCTGGTATCCAGCTTGGTAACAGTGCTTGGGAGCTGTATGTCTTCACCGCTTTTTATGGTACCCCAATCTAGATGTCGTTGACCCCATGCTGACCTGTGACCATCACGGCAGGTACCTCCTTGAACACGGTCTCAAGGCCGATGGCCAGCTCAATCCTGAGGCTGAAGACGCAATTAATTCGGGTGGTTCGTTCGAAACCTTTTTCACAGAGACACACAGCGGCAAATATGTCCCTCGTTCTATCTTCGTGGATCTTGATCCTTCGGTACGACCTTTCCAGATGGATGGCCTCTCTCATATAACGTATATGCTGAATTGATGATGCAGCCCGTCGATGAGATCCGCACCGGCCAGTACCGTCAGCTCTTCCACCCCGAAATGTTGATCAGCGGAAAGGAAGACGCCGCCAATAACTGTACGTCTCTTCTAATCCGGCCTGAACATGTAAGCTAATGCTCGTCAGATGCCCGCGGACATTACACCATCGGAAAGGAGCTCGTTGAATCAGTTGCCGACCGCATTCGCCGCGTCTCCGGTAAGTTTACCACAATTTATCTGAAACCTGACTCTGTCGGGACTAGGCTTACACACACTAGATAACTGCAACTCTCTGCAGGGATTCTTGGTATTCCACTCCTTCGGCGGTGGTACCGGCTCCGGATTTGGTGCCCTGTTGCTTGAGCGTCTTTCCACCGATTATGGAAAGAAGTCGAAGCTCGAGTTTGCGGTGTACCCTTCCCCTCGTGTGTCGACCGCCGTCGTTGAGCCATACAACGCTGTTCTCTCCACCCACAGCACTATTGAGAATGCTGACTGCACCTTCTTGGTGGATAACGAGGCGGTTTACGACATCTGTCGTCGCAACTTGGACATCCCACGTCCTGGCTATGAGCACCTCAACCGCCTAATCGCCCAGGTTGTCAGCTCCATCACCTCAAGTCTCCGCTTCGATGGCGCCCTCAATGTCGATTTGACTGAGTTCCAGACTAACTTGGTGCCATTCCCTCGTATCCACTATCCGCTGATTTCGTATGCACCCGTGGTCTCGAGCAGCCGCAGCTCCCACGAGAGCTTCAAGGTGCAGGATCTCACATTCCAGTGTATGTATTTCTCTTCGTGGCTTGTCGTCGAGGTATTGGCGTGGGTGGATAGCTAACAGAGGCTGCAGGTTTTGAGCCGAATAATCAGATGGTGGTGTGTGATCCTCGCAAGGGCAAGTATATGGCAGTGGCTCTGCTGTACCGCGGTGACGTGGTACCCCGTGACTGCACTCAGGCCATCGCCTCTCTCAAGGCCAAGGCCTCGTTCAATCTTGTGGAATGGTGCCCTACCGGTTTCAAGTTGGGTATCAACTACCAGAAGCCCGTTCGCGTTCCCGACACCGAGCTCGCTCCCGTCGACCGCTCCGTCAGCATGCTCTCCAACACAACCTCCATTTCTGAGGCGTGGGGTCGTCTTGACCACAAATTCGACCTCATGTACTCGAAGCGCGCCTTCGTTCACTGGTACGTGGGTGAGGGTATGGAAGAAGGCGAGTTCTCCGAAGCCCGTGAGGACCTGGCTGCGCTGGAGAAGGACTATGAAGAAGTTGCCAACGACAGTCTGGAGCCGGAGGGTGAGGAGGGTGAGTACTGATACCTTTCACACCCTGTTGGCTTGTGCTGCTTTGGTCGCTTTTTCTTGGTGTGTCTGTCTCACTTTGCCGGTCAAATTGCGTCTGCCCCGTCCATAATGCTTGCGACAACCCCCTTCATTCTGTTTATGCGTCCCTAGCGTTGTTTGATTCCCCTGCTCTTACCTAATAATGAACTGATACATGCGCTGCGGGAGAATATGAGCACACGAATTCATCGGTCTTTTGAAAGGACGCGAAAGTGTATTCCACGTGGAAAAGAGAAAAGTCTAGTATTCTATCAGATAATATACACAATCAGGTGTTGCGAGTGCGCGGGACCCTGTAAGCTCATTCCTCCTTGCTCGTAGCCACCTCCATATCCTGGAGTAGTCGCAAAGAAGTCTCATAGGTCCACATCGTCACCGCACTGGCAGGGGCAGCCTTGAACAGGCTGACCGTCAACCCCCGATAAAGTCCGCGGATACCTTGGGTCCGCAGAATCAACCTCATCGTATTAAACACACCCTGATACTCAGGAATATTGCGATGAATATATAACTGCCTCGTCGGTCCCTGCACCTGCAACCTCTTCCGTATCAAATCCAACGGAAACATCACCGTCTTCGACGACACACTGGCAATCACACCCGCCGCCGCATCCCCCGACCCAAACGGCAAATCCTGATACTGCGCCAACGGCGGCCTCAACGCCTCATACGTCGCAAAGAACAGCCCCATATACGGCACAATCTGCCCCACAGCCGCACTACACCCGCGAAAGAACCCTGCGTACCCTTCATTCCGCGCGATATCCCGCACCGACGACATCAGCGACGTGTACACCCGCTCCGTGCCCTGCGCGGCGAACCGCGTCCTCAGCAAATCCAGCGGGTATGTAGATGCCGTGGCGAGACCGCCCGCGGTGGCGCCCGCGACGAACGATTCGACGGAGGGCGGCAGTCGATAGGTGTCGAGTTGGGCCAGCGCTTGTGTGGTTGTGCGGTATGCGCTGAATTGGATCACCCCGTAGCAGACGTACATTAGTTCCGCGGGGATGTTGCCTTTCCAGAGGCCGGTTATACCCTCTTGACGGATGATTTCGCGCATGGTGGAGAGCGTGCCCTTGTAGATTGGGCCGGTTACATTGTGGTGCGAGGGAGGGTCGGAGAGCGAGTGGATTTGGAGCTGCAGCCGGATTTTGACTACGTCTAGGGGGGCGACGCAGAATCTGGGGGAGGTGGATGGATTAGGTTGGGTTGTGTTTGTAGGGGGGGAGGTTTGGGGGCGTACCGTGATACGAGGCCGGCTATGCCGCCTGCTAGGACGACTTGTCGTCGTGTGCCCTGGGTGGTTGGAGGGGATTGGTTAGCTTGTGCATTGAGAGTGAGGCGTGATGGATGGTGCTAGGGTGTGGAGTGTATGTATGATTGTTGAGGGGATGGATGGTGCATGGGGATTTGGAGTGGATATGTACCTCATCCTTAAGGTGTTCTCCCCCGGCCGACATGCATGTGACGGTTGATGGTTAAGTCGAGAGAGATGTAGGTATTTGAGGTGGAATTGATGGTCGCGAGTGGTAGGACGTTATATAAAGGTTGTCATTGATGTGGTTTTCCTTGTGGTGGTGGTGTGTAGGTGGTTGTTTCGCTGGAGGCCTTGTCGAAGGCGACGGGCAAAGAAAAAAAGGGTAAAAATGATGCTAACGGTCTAGAGGTATGACGTGTGTCCGTCGTTCTTTTCTTTTCCTGCGGACGGAGTCTCGGAGACTTCAAACTGCCGGATTTACTTCCGGGGACAGTTTCTTGAATCTGTTTACACCCGGAAAATTGAGGGTTTATCTACAAAATTACTACTCTCCATTAATTTAGCAACGGGCGATTATGCTCCGTCTGGAAGAAGCAACCCAAGGGATGGCAAGCAAATCCCCTGGTGGACGAAGATGCCTGGTGTCTCTGCCTGACTGCCTTACTGCCTAGCTCGTACTTTAAAGCGGCGGCGAGTCAGTGCCCAATCAGGTGCCATCCGAAAAACCTCGGTACAAACAAAGTCGCATCAGACCATAAGTTATTATCTGGGGGATCTCCTGGCGTCCCACTTCTTTCCCCAGCTCTCCTTCACCCCCCAAACCCGGAGTCCTTGGATGCGGGCACCTTTAAACTCTTCATAGCAGGTCTTCTCGCTGCTAGTATCCGCCATGTCTCGTCTGTTGCGAACCGCCCTTCGTCTTCCTCGGGCCTCATTCCCTCCGGCCTCCGTTCTCAGCCGTCGTGTCTATTCATCCTCTGTTGTTCGTCGCTCAGCAGCTAATGCTACCCCTCCCGCCAACAATGTGGCTCCCACATCAAGTGACGCTGCTCCTACAGTTAGCAGTATTGCCTCCGCAGCCAGCAATGCGACCGCCGAACCCAGTGTATCACATGAAGTAGCAAGTGGAAGCAATGATGCTGCATCATCGCAGCCAAACCAATCCTCACCCCCAGAAGCAGGTGAACAGCACGAGGGAAAGACTCCGGAGTCAAACGCCGGGACAGTAGAATACCAGGATAACAAATACACAATCACACGCAAAGACGGAGGCCTGATCATCCAAGAAGGTCGCAAAAAGCCCATCGAGATACTAGACATCATTCTCCGCGACTCCTGCAAATGCTCTACCTGCGTGGACCCTCACTCCAAGCAACGCAACTTCCGCACAAGCGACATATCCTCCGACATAATCTCCGAGAATCTAACCATCGAGCACGGAAAGCTGCACGTAACATGGAAAAACGACCTCCGCGGCGCACCCGCCGAATCAACACACGAGTCCACCTACGACCTCCACCAGCTCCGACACCCCATCCTCACTCCCGTTGAAATGGAATCCGCGGGCAAAAACCGCTGGCGAGCCTACTGGGACAACAGCCGCATGCAACACTGGCAGCACTGGATCACCTTCGACCAATTCATCAACAACGACATCTCCTTCGCCTGGTCCATGCGCACCCTCGCCGAACTCGGCCTCATCTTCATCAAAGACATCCCAGACTCACGCGAAATGGTCGAGAAGATCGCCACCCGCATGGGTCCCATCCGCGATACCTTCTACGGCCGCACCTGGGACGTGCGCAGCGTCCCCCAAGCCACCAACGTCGCCTACACAGACCAGTTCCTCGGCTTCCACATGGACCTGATGTACATGAACGACCCGCCCGGCTACCAACTCCTCCACTGCCTCAAGAACTCCTGCGAGGGCGGCGAATCCCTCTTCGTCGACACCTTCCGCGTCGCATACGACATGAAACAAGACGACCACACAAACTACTCCCGCCTCCTTCATCACCACATCCCCTACCACTACAACCACCCGGATCACTTCTACACGAATACCTGGCCCGTCTTCGAAACACAGACCTTCGATGACAGCGTCCGCGAAGGAAATAACTTCTCCAAATCCCGTCTCGTCCACGTCAATTACTCCCCGCCTTTCCAGGCCCCCAGGAAGGTCCGGTCTCCTGTGCCCCGCAAGTTCCGCGAGAAGAACGAGGCCCTTGCTAAGTTCGCCTCTCTGCTTGAGGACGAACGGTATATGTTCGAGCTGAAGCTGAACCCCGGTGAATGTGTCGTCTTTGAGAATCGTCGTGTCGCGCATGCCCGTCGTGGATTCAAGACTAGTACCGGTGAGAGGTGGCTCGCTGGTGCATATGTCGATGAAGATGCGATGTTGTCGGAGTTTAAGACTTCGTCCAATAAGTATCCTAACCTGTGGAGGTTGAAGCGCAAGGGGCTGAATAGTAAACATGTTAAGTTGTTGAAGGGGGTAGGTAAGCCGGATGAATTGCCTTAGTTTTGTTTTTACTATTTGGAGCAGCGGGGGTGGAGAGAGAGGGGGGTTGGGGTAAAGTAGATATCCATTGCTATTTATATACGAAGAGGAAGATGTATCATATGTGCATACAGCTGTGACCTGAGGGTCTGATACATGAATATTATACATAACTACTTATACTAAACGGTGCTGACTGAGTCATTTGTATAATAATCATAAGTGGTATTTTTCATTTGGTAGTTTTTATATAAACGACGACAAGAATTCCCCATGGCACTCACGCATGGGTATAGATATCATCCAGTCAAGTACTATGTAATTCAGCCTGTCAATAATGGACACAGGGGGAAGAGGAGCAAGACGCCGCTAGATCTCAAGCTCTAACAATCGAGGGTTTGGAAAAAGGTAAATGTGAATAGGAAATGTTGAAAAGGGGGGGGAGCTATCCAATACGGACAAAGCCGTGGTATTATTCGACTTATAGTTCTATAGCTTAAGCAGCGGGCTTGTTGACGGAGAAGCGGTCCAGGAAATCGGGATCGTTCTCGAGTTCCTCCTTGACCTGTTCAGAGATATCTTGTTAGTACTGCGTATACACCATGAAGTATAGAGGGAGGGGGGGCTTACAATGTCCAATCCACCAACCAACTCACCCTCCACCCACAACTGCGGGAAGGTAGGCCAATCCGCAAACTCCTTCAGGCCCTGTCTCACATCCTCATCGGCCAAGATGTTGAAGAATCCATACTTGACGCTCCGCTCACGCAGAATGCCCACAATCTGCCGACTGAATCCACACTGAGGCGCACTGGGAGATCCCTTCATGAACAGCATCACCGGCGCAGCCTTCACGAGCTCTGCGAGACGCGCGAACAGCGCCTCCTTCGACTGTTCGGGGGTCAATGCGGGGGCGGCGTTGCCGTTCGTGGCGGGCGCCTGTGTAGCGGTGGCGGGGACGTTCTCTCGAGGCACGGCTGTCAATGGTGGGGGGATGACGGTCTTAGAAGCACCGTCTGCAGAGGCGGCGGCACCGGCACCGGCGTGGCGCTCAACGGCATCGCGCACTTGGATTGCTTCACTGCCGCTAATGGTTTCGAGAATATTGTGGTCCCGGACGAGGACTACGAAGGGAACAGCGGTGACGTTGTACTCTTCCGAGATATCAGGGAGCTCCTCGGCGTTAACGCTGAGGAAGGCGATGGAGGGAGGGTTGGTCGCGGGGTACTGAGAGGCGAGGGCGGAGAGGACGGCGCGCATTTGGGCGCAAGGAGCAGCCCAAGGGGCGTGGAAGTAGAGAACCTGCAGGCATGACGGGGGGATGGAGGAGATGATGTTAGGGAATTCGGCCTCAGAGGCGACTTCGACGAGGGAGGACATGATGATAGTTCGGTTGGGTTACTGAGGTGGGGTTTCGGCGGGGAAAACTTGGCGTCTGATGTGACGATGGGAGAGAGAAGATCTGAAAAAGGATGAGTGGAGTTGAATGGAAGGCAGATAAACTTGGGAGCGGAGGAGGATCAGGGAGGAAAGAAGACGAGAGGTAGAGGGGAAAGAGTCACAAAGTGCCCCACGGTGTGGCCGAGATGGAGTGGAAGATGGAGAGGAGCAGAGGATGGCTGGCCGATGGCGAATTTTTGGCCGCTTATCAGATCGAACCATCGGGGCCGTTTGTAATACACGGTCCATACCCGCTTTCTGCTTCTGCGATCTTCGGCGTAAGACGGAGCCTGGGTGGCTCCGAGGCTGCGTCAGCAACAAGATGCTGCAATGGGCGCTATGGAGCAGTCACTCGCGAGCTAATGCAGTTGACTCTATATGTGCTCTACTCCACTATGTAGACTCAATATTGGGTTGGTGATTGTTCATGCAGCTTCTGAACGCAGGAACAGGCTGCTCCGTTGATAGGTCGGCCAGCCCTGCATGCTATCCGTACCGTATCGTAACCAGATAGATTATCATCACGTGCCTCAAAAGTCGGCGGGATTCTGCGTCGCGCGACCTCTTGTCGATCTTCTGGACGCCAATTCCCCATCCTTGCCTAGACCTGCTTGTGACTGTCTGAGTTGTCATTGCGATATCGGAAGCACATTGGGTGATTCTGGTCGATTCCTCTGCAGCCAGCAGGCCTTCCGAGCCCCCGATTTTGTCTTGATTTGTTCTTTGCCGCCCCGGTCGTCGCCCTAACATCATGGGAGGAAACAAGCGCAAGCGCACAGAGGCTGGGTGCTCAGATGACGAGGATCCGGTAAAGAAGAGCTCAGATGCGAATAGCTTTGGCATTGCTCAGACACTCTCGCTCCTAAACTCGGGCAAGACAAAGTCTCAGAACGGTATCGACTCGGAAGAACCTGGGAAGGCGCAGGATGATATGCCCAAAGAAAGAGCTTCGAAGAAGAAGCGCGTGGACGGGGAGAAGACAAAATACCCTGTTCTTACCTATGTCGAAGGCAAATTGCAGTCATCCATCCGAATTGCTGATCTTCAGAGTCTGCTACTCTACTGCTTTGCTGATGGCGTTGCGCCGCAGTGGATCTCAGTCAAGCACTCTGGTCATGTTAGGAAAATTGTCGTGCTGATGGTGCCCGGTCTGGAACTGGGCATGTTCGACGGATCTCTTCCTCTGGATGCGGATTCAGTTAGTGAGAAGGAGACAGAAGAACCTGCCGGTACGGACAAGGCAATGGATGAGGATACAAAAGCAGAGGACTTTGCTCGCTGGAAGCAGGGTCTGCCGCTGGAAGATCGGTCACATCGGTTCAATCCTCGCCCTCTTTCGCGCGATACCCTTCCGGCACCCCTACAGCCGCTAGCGGATATGTTCCCTCACGCCTGGCCCGTAAAAGCCCCCGGTGATTCCAAGTACAACAAAATTCACTCTCCACTGCAAGCCATACTTCTATCTGCTCTACCGAAGGGCAAGGATAGTAACACGAAAGGAGCAAAACCTCCCAAGGTGGACAAGAGTATCGCCTTCCAGCGTACACCGATCACCACTTTTATTAGCTCTTTGGAAGATCTCCGGGAGAACGACTATGTGCTTCATCCGGCTCTGCTCGCCACAGAACAAGAAAAGTCGACTTTGTTGGAGAATCGCAAGCGTGCCGGACATTCCAAGGAAAATGGATGGGTAGATACTCACGTCGAGAGCTTGGAGGCTGGACAGGTACCAGAATCTGAAATCCAGCAAGGCAGCATGACCGCAGGCCGGGATGTGCTAGCGTTGGATTGCGAGATGTGTATCACCGAAGGTGGCCAATCTGAGCTCACGCGCATCAGCATGGTCCGGTGGGATGGTGAAGTCGTACTAGATGAGCTGGTGAAACCCCAGCGACCTATCATCGATTATTTGACTCGTTTCTCTGGTATCACGAAAGAGTTACTCGACCCTGTCACCACGACTCTTGAGGACATCCAGCAGAAGCTTCTCTCTCTCCTTACTCCTCGCACCATCATCGTCGGCCACTCCTTGAATTCCGATTTCAACGCCCTGAAACTCACTCACCCATTCATCGTCGACACCACATTTATCTACCCCCATCCCCGCGGACCGCCGCTCAAGTGCAGTTTGAGATGGCTCACCCAGAAGTATCTCGGGAAAGAGATCCAGAAGGGCCAGACAGGCCACGACTCGATCGAAGATGCGCGCGCTGTGCTCGAACTCGTGAAGCAGAAGTGCGAAAAGGGTGAGCGCTGGGGCACTAGTGAAGCATCGAACGAGAGTATTTTCAAGCGCCTGGCACGCTCCATGCGTTCCGGGAAATCGTCCACCAACGAAGGTCGCACTGGAGCTGTTGTCGACTGGGGCAACCCGGAGCGCGGCTTCGGGTCGCAGGCGACTACATCGATAGGATGCAGCAACGACACCGACGTTGTAAATGGCATTTCCAAGGTAGTCAACGGCGACGACAGCAACCCCTCCATTCCCGGAGGCGGTGTTGACTTCACTTGGGCCAGACTGCGCGAACTTGAAGTTTACCGCGGCTGGTGCAATCGGATGCCCGACCCCAACAACGCGAACGAGTCGACGACGCTCGTTCCCCCTCCTGAAGAAACGACTCCGACATCCGCCGCCGTCTCCCCCACCAAAGAAGCCACTCGCAATCTCGCCGACACCGTCTCCCGCACTGTCTCCAACATCCACCAAATCTACCAATCCCTCCCCCCTTGCACATTATTCCTCGTCTACTCCGGCACCGGAGACCCTCGCGAAGTCAGCCGCCTCCAAGCCATGCACAAGACCTTCCGCGAAGAATTCAACTCCCGCAAACCGTGGGATGAATTGACCGTCAAATGGACCGATACTGAGGAACAGGCGCTCAAGAAGGCCTGTGAGCGAGCCAGAGAAGGCTGCGGGTTTATGTGTGTGAAGTAATTAACATCTTACCTCTTTTCTTCTTTTTCTTTCATCCATTATTTCTTCCTCTTCCGTACGGGACTGTGTTTTTGACCAGGCAGCAGACCGGGTTCAAGATACAGGTCCTGGTGGTTTGGCTCGCTTGTCACGAATGTCTTTCGAGGCTTCTTACGAAAATTCCCCATGCTTTGAACTCTAGATTATGGGTATGCGAGCCGTGCTTCTGATCGACAACTACTCGCCTACTGCTCAACTGCCTAGTATTACGTTCTATCACGGAGAAATAGGCATGACATGCTGGAGCCATATCAAATCGGACATTTTTGGATTGATTGGATAAGAATTGGGCTGGATCGCACCCAATGTGGGGATATCATTGTGCAGAAAAGCTAGACTGGCAATCTCGGCCTAGTGGGGAATTGAATCAAGAAAGAGGGGCGCCATGAAAGAGCTAGTAAATAATAAGGTGGCGGGGTGATCCTATAGATGTTTGTGTAGAAGAAAAAAAACACAAGAGAAAGGGGGCCACTTTTGTACAAATACATGAGAAGAAAGAAAAAGAGGGGATGCCATGTCACCCAAAGATAGAGTACAGATAATACAATTGATAGAAAGAAGGAAGAAAAGGGAAATTAAAGTGAGCGGGTCAGTCTAGCTTGCTTGCTTTTGTGTATCAAAACAGAAGACTTTTTGTTTTTTTGTGTTTTAATAATCCCACATCACTCGCTCTCATCGCGAATCCTCAGTTTCCATTGCTTCTTCACGCTGCATAGCTAATCGTACCATGATGTCTCGCGCTGCGGACTGTGCTTTGCGCTTCTCTCGTGAATCGGGCTTGTGCACGCCGTTTGCGCCGCCATGCGAGTTTTCTTTGCCCGTGTGTAAGGGGGGCGTTGGCTGTTGCTGTTGTTGTCGCTGTTCAGTGTGGTCCGGTACGTCGTCCCCATTCTGATACCCGTTCTGTGGAGTTTGCTCCGGCTCCGATGGACGTGTGTCAGCGTTGGCTGCTGCGGATTGGCGCCGCGACGGGGGCCGAGATCTGCTGCGCAGGCTTCGCGAGTGAGCGGGCCGGTTCTCCTTTGTAGTGCGAGTGTCGCTGGGACTGGAATCGTCGAATTGGGAATCTTTGTGCGCGTTGCCGTTTTGCTCGGTCAGTGGGGTAGTTTTGGGGCTTTGATTGTTGGCGCTGGTGGTGATGTCGGGTTTGGTGGTTTGGCTAAATGATTTGCGCGGGGGTCGGCCGGGTCTTCGTCCGCTGGTTGTGGGTTTGTCTGTTGATTGAGATAGGCGCGGACGTTTTACTATGGCTTCTCGGTGGGATGTGGCGGAGTTGTTGCTGTTGTCGTGGTGGTTGTTAAGGTCGTTATCATGGTTAGGGGTTTGTTGCTGTTGTTGTTGTCGTTGCGAGGGGTTAACTTCGATGTGCAGTTTGGGGGAGCCTGATGGTGTGGGTTCGTGGGTTGTCTTGTCTGTTGTGGACATGGATGTGGAGTCCTTCAGTGGGATTTTGACTGGAGGTAGACTTGCGTCCTCTAAGGAGAAGTCTGCGATGCTGTCCGAGGAGTCTTCGTCGAACGAATCTCCTATCGGTTGGGTGCGTCCGCTCGGAAATGAATCTGGCCAGGGCCGCTTCCGACTTCCTTGTAGTAAGCCTGGGCTTCGTACTTCTGCGAGTATTGTTGTGTCGGCATATAAGGGTGGTGGCGGTGGCGGTTGTACTTGTTTGAGGGTTTGCTCTTCCGCGTAACGGTTCTTCAGCTTAAGTGCTTCATTTTCGAGCTTCAGTCTTTCGATCTCATCGGCTTTGGATCTGAGTTCCTTCAATACCGTTGCGATCATCATGTCCTTGCTAGCGGGGGTGCCCATATCGGATGTGAACCGACCTGGGCCGTTCAATTCGATGCGCAAAGCGGTGAATGCGTTCTTCAACTCGGACATGGTATCGTGAAGGTTGCTGACGGAACTTGTGATGTGATCGAGGCTCAGCCCTTGGTGCTGGATCTGTTGTTCCATCGACAAGTTGTAGGGGTCTAGCTCCGTCGAGGTAGTGGGTACCAGGGCCCCGGCATGGACTGGTGTTCGGTCTTGTCGGGAGGGGGGAGTCGGACATAGAATGCGTTCGAGCGATCCTTCCTTGAATACAGGCTCCACTGTGCGCATGGTAACAATTTCCCGGAACGACACCTTCGATAACTTCCAGAAGATATTGGGGCTGTTCTGTGTTAGCTGGGAAGCGTGAAACAGAAATGATACCCACTTACCCATTGTCTAGAGAGCATAGCACGCCCAGCTTCTGTTGACAGAGCTTACAGGAGATTTCCTGGAGGATCCGGCCTCGTAGGGTGTTCAGCTCTGATGATTGCGGAATTTGCTTCTTCTCCGAGGAGATGGAAATGCGATGCAGCTCGACGCTCAGCCACCCAGCCACTATGGAGTAAGAATTCGAGAGTTTAGCCCACTCGTTCTCGAGCGCAGCCAGCGAACTCGAGCATCGCGAGCACTGGCAGAGGATTGCCGGGCGGGTAAGCCGAGAGAGATCCATGACGGTGGACATGAGGGGGGAAGCACGTTGGAACTCAGGCCGTGAAAGAGCGTATGGCCGTGAGCCCGCGTGAAGTTGCGAGATGAACCAAAGTCAGGGCGCAAACCTGCCCGCAAAAGTCCAGAGGGATCTCGACTGCTGACTCAGCCGTCAATGGAGACACGTTGGCGGGTCGACCATTCCCGATTAGGCTATCGATAAGGGCCGCACGCGTTTCACTGTCGTCATACCCGGCCCTCCGTGTTTCTCCTTCAGTGGCTGGGCCCGGCTTCCGCTCCCCTCCGCGTATCTTTTACGTATGTTACTTACCGAGATGGCTTCTCCTGAGCAGCCAACTATAGCTTCAGCTACTTCAATGTCTAAACTCTTGACATTGCTACCAATTATACAATCTACTGATATGTAAAGAGACTCCCAAAAAAATGATAACTCGATTATGCAATAATTCCACCTCAATACATGCCCTTATCCTATTAATGACTTAGTGTATGGAGGAGAGCGCTGGCCTTTTCTCCCGTTACAGCCAGATATGCAGGTGAGACTTTAAACAAGGCTTCCAATCAACTTCTGTACTAAAACGCCTGTTTATTTCTTAGTGCTGAACTAGTAACTACTACCTACATGCAGGCTGCCAGATATCTACCAGCACACCTGTCACATCCTGACTCTTACGATTCCTTGTTTCTATCCCTCTCCTGCTCGTTATTTCTGACCCCGCCTTGGTCAGATCACAAGTTTGCTCGGACATCCCCCATCGGAGAAGTTAAATTTCCAGGAGAGTATGAACTATAACATTTTTTACCTGCTGAAAACAAACTAGTAGTAGTCTTGACATGCGGGGTTTTTGGTTAGCCTTGTCATAGTTCATATGATTCTTCTACAGTGGGCGCGTAGTTTGTCATCGCAACCTTGAATTAAGTGGATGGATCGAAGTCTCTCTAAGATCCTTCGCATGTACAGAAGATGTTAGGGTGGAACATGGCTTGGTGAAGCTTTGCTGAAGTCTTGCAAATGGTGAATGGTACTGTAAGGTCTGCTTGTGGAGACGTCAGAGATATCAAAGCTGGAGGACGATGCAAATTGCTGAGCAATATGTTTGTTAGCATCTAAGTTTATAGTCCCAGCCGCATCCATCAAGCTGTAGTGGTGCTCAAGACGTGATAAGTCTACTAGAAAAGCGCATATACTCCAATAATTAATCGTGAAAAAGAAACTAGGCCGAATCCAGTATAAACCATGCACCGCCGGGGTACATCTCATTGTCGAATCATATCATTCCGGAGAATCTCCTCCATTGTTCCTATCGGTGATTAGTCACTTTTTGCTTCCCCTCGGAATGTCCCCCGCATGCCCGTTAGATTAACAGCCAATTCGTTGCCGCTGCCTACTTGCTTTTGCTTCAGCCCTGTCATCATTCCAGTTTTGAGGCTCGATGGGATCCTTGGCCCGCTATTCTCTTCGATCCTTGTTTCCTCTAAGGCCATCCCTCCCAATTCCAAGATTCGCATACCGTTCCAGGATCGCCATGGCTAGCGTATCAACAGCTTCCAATGGGAGCAGACCCAGCACGTGGCAGGGTGCCGGTGCAGCTGAGTTTGACCTGAGAAGTGAGTATGACTCATAGCAGAAGAATGCTGCCATTGTGATGTGCACTTTTGCTGAGAATCATATGTCGTAAGGTGATACAATGACCAAGCCAACTCCGGCAATGCTGGAGGCAATCTGCCAGACCACACTCCTTGACGATGTCTTCGGTGAAGATCCAGTGACAAATGATCTTGAAGCTTATGTGGCAGAGCGCACTCAACATGAGAGCGCTCTCTTGGTCATGTCCGGTACAATGGGCAACCAGGTTGCCATCCGCACTCACCTAAAGGAACCTCCGTATTCTGTCCTTTGCGATCACCGGTCCCATATCATCTGCTACGAAGCTGGTGGAGTAAGCTCCCTTACGGGCGCCACGGTCATGCCCATTATCCCGAAGAATGGTGTCCACCTTACTCTGGAGGATATCAAGAAACATGCGGTACTCAGTGATAACATCCACTACTGTCCTACGAAGCTCATCAGTCTTGAGAACACGTTGGATGGTCTGGTTATGCCACTTTCTGAGGCTCGGCGCATCACTGAATGGGCTCATCAAAATAACATCAAGGTCCATCTGGATGGTGCGAGACTTTGGGAAGCAGTGGTGTCCGGTGCCGGTAGTTTGCCTGACTACACTACTTTGTTCGACAGCGTAAGCCTATGCTTCTCAAAGGGCCTAGGTGCTCCCATTGGAAGTATTATTGTTGGCTCGAACGAGTTCATCAAGAAAGCTCGATGGTTTCGCAAGTCCATCGGTGGTGGTGTCCGTCAAGCTGGAGTCATCTCTGCGGCGGCCCGCGTCGCAGTTGAGGAGACATTTGGACCCGACCCCAACGGACAGCAAGGGAAGCTTCTAGGGTCTCACCAAAGAGCAAAGAAGGTTGCCGATATGTGGATTAGCCGTGGAGGCAAGCTATCCCACCCTGTAGAGACCAACATGGTGTGGTTGGACGTTGAGGGGTCGGGATTGGGGCCTGATGATCTGGCCGAGATTGGACGTGAAAAGGGTTTGAAGCTTGGGGGCAGTCGCATCGTCGTCCACTACCGTAAGTATTCCTTTGCCATGGGAACTACTCTCCCACATTGATCTAACATGACTGCAGAGGTATCCGAGGAGTCCCTCTCTCGACTCGAGCAGGTGTTTGAGGCAGCTTTGAGCAAAAAAGTTTGAGCGTAGTATTGACTGAAGTAAATTATAAGGAAGTCGCTGGATAATCGCACTAGTGGATATAGGATAGAACGATCTGAATTGCTAGGAAGTAAATCGAGCTGAAATCGAGTGTCACGCGTTGGATCCACGGAATCGGTAGATGCGGTGTGTCCCGCCCGCCTATGCAAGGCGCACTCTCATTGGCTCAGGTGCGGCCATCCGGGGTTCTGCCTTGTTGGTGCCTGGGGCTCTGCTGGACTTTCAAATTAAAGAGCTGCGGTTTATCACCCCAGCCTTGCTGCTGCATGTTTCTCGGACGACGACTCCTGTCGGACGGTCTCTTGTCTCGTCTCCGTCTCTGGCTCCACCTTTTATGCTCCCTCTATTGCATCTCTTGAGCCTGGCAATGCAGTAGATAGTTGGTGGAGACTTTGCTAACTGTGTGAGTCTAACTTTCCGTTTCTCTGTGCACTGTTATTAGTTACATGGGCATCCTTGACTAATACCAGGAACCTGCTATAGAAATACGCCCAGTCTCCCTCACAAACCCCCTTCGACGGATTCCCTTTTTGCTCCTTGCTTCAATGGTCCAACACTACGAATTCCTGAGCAGTTTAGGACCCAATCTGGTTGGCTTTCAAGCCTGGAGCTATCCATCACGACTGAGATACTTTGAGACCTCGCTGCCTATCGCTGGAAGGCACACTGTATAAAGTCTTGTTTGGTACATCTACTGGCCTCGTTCCTGCCAGTTTATCATCACATACACCAGGCCTTGGATAAACTGGGTGTGATTTCGGGGTGCGCTCTCTAAGGTTGCTGGAACATTGCGCGGGCTGGTGCTGTCGTTTGGTTGCTCGCCAGGTAAGGTCATTCATACCTTCCTGCATCGCTGCAAGAATTTTCGAGCATACAAGCAATCAACTTTAATGCTAGCAAGGCTTATACCCCCAATAGGTCTATGATATGGAGTCCTGTTGATCATCGCCTTGGCTACGCAAAGTTCTATTCCCATTTCTCTACTTGAGTCCCGCACATATACCCTTCAGTGTTTGTCTTGTCATATAGTCTGCTTTTGCATTTTTCTGTCTTTCTCTACTATATTCATACCTTTCCCGGCAGTCGCACTGTTCCTGTCAGCCCTCGACGTCATCATCAATATCCGTGCAGATGGAGGCGACCCAGGAGTCCACTCAGCCATGCACGGACCCTCGCCGCATGGGCTACAACAATTCGGCCCTCCACGAGGATGATCTGACGGACATTGTTTGTATCTTACACCCAAATTCACCTGCAGCCCATGATGCTGTAGCCGCAACTGCGCGCCACGCCCCGCAGCACATCCTACAAAGGGATGCGCTAGAATATGAATGTTCAGATACAGCAGCTTTGGACTTCGCTCTTAGACTGTCATCGAATGTGTATGACGCAAACACGGGCTTTTGCTTCGGACGGAACAGGGCTCGCTGCGATCTTCTCATTGCCGATGCTAACTCGAAACGTATCTCGAACACGCACTTCCGCATCTATCTTACGCAAGATGGGATCATAATGCTGGAGGACACCTCCACCAATGGAACGATCGTAGACAACTGCCGTCTTCGCAAGATTCAACGTGAGAAGAGCCGCATGCTAGTCAATGGTTCCGTCATTCAGGTGCCAAATGGTGAGGGGCAGTCTTCGGAGGAAGTCAGATTCATTGTGCGCCTGCCGTCCCGGGAAGGTTTTGTCATGCAGTACACCGAAAATATGCTTCGCTACTTCGAAAAGATCGAGACGCAAAGAGCAGGTGCAGCGCAACCCAGAGCTCGTACTACCCCCGCGCCCACTCTGCAGATCGCTTCACCTAATACGTACGGCATGCACTGGTCTGGAGGATCGATTTACAACGTGACGGGGCAAATAGGCAAGGGAGCCTTTGCAACGGTCTACAAACTCGCCACGAAGCAGCATGGTTCTGTATATGCAGCCAAAGAACTCGACAAGCGCCGCTGGATGAAAAATGGCATACTCGACAAGAAAGTTGACAATGAAATGCAGATCATGAAAGATCTGAAACACGTGAGTAACCTCAAATGAATTTTCTGACGCTCCCACTTATAACAAATGACTTTTAGCCCAATATTGTTCAATACGTCGACCATCACGAGCACGACAGATGGATATACATTATCATGGAGTATGTTCCCGGTGGAGAGCTGTCCACTTACTTGCAGTCGCATGGCAGGATCGCAGAGGCCCAGGTTAGGACCATGGCGCGACAGATTTTGCATGCACTCCACTATCTACATAAACGGAAGATCACGCATCGAGATATCAAGCCAGACAATATCTTGATTTCGTCTCTTGATCCCCTCCGAGTGAAATTGTCAGACTTTGGTCTTTCAAAAGTAGTTCAGGAAGAGACCTTTTTGAGGACCTTCTGTGGAACATTGCTGTACTGCGCCCCGGAAGTCTACCCCGAGTATGACACTTACCGACGTGGTGAGGTTCGGAAACGGCGCAGGCTGGGTGATCCGTAAGTTCCTGATAACATATGCCCTGCTGAAATTATACTGATCATTAGGCCTCCAAAAACATCCCCATACGATCAATCTGTTGACATGTGGTCGCTTGGAGCCGTTCTCTTCCATCTTCTTTCGGGTGTTCCCCCTTTCGCTCCTCGAGGAGATGATCGTGGTGCTCAGATGCTGCGAATCATCATGACTGAGGATGCCGATTATAGTGAACTCCGCAAAGCAGGCGTCTCAGAGGATGGAATAGATTTTGTCGCTCGACTTTTAAACCGTGACCCCCAGTCTCGCCCGAACGAACGAGAATGTTTTAGGCACCCGTGGATTGCAGGAGTTGCGGACATTGACGATTATGATGATGAGGACTTGTTTCTGGGTGTCCCGGATGAGCTTTCTGACATAGGCGAGGATCTCGAGGACGAAATAGACGCATCTCAGCTGTCTTTGAATGATAAGCCGGCAGCAGAAGTCGCGGCTGAGGAGGACGACGAATTGGCCCAGGCCAAGAAAATCAAGCTTGAATATCCGCCGGAGGAAATTCGCTATCCATCGCTGCCCAGTTTCGACAGTTTCTCGGCTCTTCAACCAGTTTCCCAGTCAACTCCAAAACGACTTTTCGGTGAGATTACGCCATCGATACTTCGAAGTTCTCACGCGCTGGGCGACAAGGTTGATGCATTTGAGGGCGACGACTTTGGCCTCCATGACTTCGTTTCTTCCACTGGTGAGTCGATAATCAGCGACGGCAACAGCCTGAACTCCATCCTCTCCCTGCCGGAAAACCCCGTCGCGGGGTCTGCACCTAGCTTAATGGGAGCTGAGAACCTTGTTGGGCAGCTGAACATGAACTCGTCGCACCCTGGCTTGAACAACATTCCCCGTCACGTCGAGGTGCCGGGGCCGCAAACTAGCGTGGCCGCAGAAGTCCCGAAGGACAAGGCCCCAGAGGCTCCCCCGCAGACCACTATCGATGATGAAACCCCTAAGGCTTCGAAATTCAACCGGCGGATTGAACTCCCCATACCTGATACCGCCAGTGAGCGTTCTAGTCCCGAAACGACAACGGGAAAGACCAACGATGGGCATGCTGAGCCCGACGCTGCTCCTGAAGAGGTGTTCGACATTGAGTTGGCGAATACTATCGATGCCAAAACCGGACAGCGACTTCCTGACTTGCCGAAAAGGGAAGACAATGAGCCTTCCCTACAGCCTGCGTTCGATCAGACTCCAGGCCCTATCCTCAATACTGTGACGCAGCTTAGCAAATCACGCCCCCTCCTTGGAAAGCTGACCACTCTCCCCGGGTCCATCTTTGAGCTCACTATTCCGCTGGAAGCTCGGATGACATCCTGGGGCCGCGGCCCCCAAGCAACCGTATGCTATCCCGAGCCAATGGATACACGGATACCTGCATATGCATTGGAAGTTACCTTTTGGGCACCAGCCATCGAAACCAAGATTGCCGCTGGACACGATTGGATGACGGTCCCTGGCGTGATGGCTATTCTCTCGACCAAAACCCGAAAGTGTATCTGGGTCAATGGAACTGAGCTGCGGCGTGGGCCCGAGAATGACAATGGCGGAGAAGGCTTCCATTTCGGCAAACTGTATACCGGCGATGTCATTACCGTCTATCAGCATCGGAACAAGTTTTTGAAGTTCGCGTGCGAATTTTACCATGGAGATAGTGCTCGCTCACGTCCCGATGAGGAGAAAGGCTTCACCGTGCGCAAAGTCTTGATGCCCAAGGAGAAGGCTGCCAACCGACAACCTGCGCGGAAAGTACCGCATGGGAAGAAGTAGGTGTCGGCATGGTGGCACTTGGTTCGCTGACTCAGTTGGAAATGGCTATGAGGTATGGTGTAATGTCCCTGGTGTGGTTTGGAGTTGTATGTATCTCTTATGTATGGGTTGCATCTTCCTTTGGTCTTGGGGGAACAACTGGGGTGGCTCAGTATTGATTTTGGCGTTTGTGCATATACATAATGATCTGGATAAGATAGGGTCTGGAGGGGAACAAAAGGAAAAAAGACTACTCTCGTCAACGCATGTACGATCATCAATTGCATGGATATTTATCAACGGATACCACTATATTTTACCGGCTCACCTGAGATACGTCTTGAGACAGACCACTGCAGAATACATGAAGTAACGTAGTGCCATGGTCCTACCCAGTGCCGTCGATACCTTCGTACATTATTATTTCCTTGCTCAGGGGGAAGTAGTAAGTAAAGGCTGCTGCTACTTTGGCTAGAATTAGATAGCACCCGCGCGCTCTGATAGTCAGGAAGAGCATTTGTATTTGAGACAGGTCTTCGCTATATAAATTCAAACTCTGCCAGGCTAGAATAATCATTATTCTAGTCAGTCTGTACTTTATTTCTAGGAGGCACCATGGCGAAATACAATCGGCCCTTTCATTTCATCCTTCTGTCCCCAGGCGTAGGCCACTGCGTATCATATTCCTTGGGCAACCACCAGGGATAGCATTCCCAGGGGGGTCGCATGAATTATGTATACCTTCGAAGTAACAGACACCTGATATGTGATGTAGAAGAGATAAGTTAAGCCGAGTCTCCCAGGGATGGTAGAGTAAAGAGCGAGAGACGTGAAAAGACACAACATCTCCTTGACAATAACAGTAGTTGCCGATATTGTGTTGAGGATCTGCGCTACAACAAACTTAGGATGCACTTCGAAGTGATCAAACAAGATGTCTGGAATGAAGACAGAAAGAGGACGTACTGGTTATAGCAAGGTCCAATACCGGTAGCCGCAGCAGCTCCTCTGAACAGAAGGGCAACGATAGTGTTCGTCCAGAGTCTCATTTTGCACCTGATTTTCGTGGATTCGTATGAAGGGAGCACGCTGAGTAAGAGTAACTTGAGAGAGAAATAAGTCTTGATCAGATGCACTGAATCACCAGTTCTTATTCTTGTTGAACCCTAGCCTGGATGTAGCTAGGGCGCATCAATCAGAGTACTCGCTATTACGCCATATAGTCCTCTATATATAACTTTGCCAAAGCCAAGTGGTTTTACTCCGTATGGTACAAATACTACCAGTAAATTACTGTAAGCGTTGTGCTAGTTAGTTAGTGCAAGAGTAAAGTGCAAGGGTATCTAAGCGGATAAGTTAAATAAAGCAACACCACCACCTCTCCTTTCATTATACGTCGTCTTGGTCATTACTCATTATTTCGCCAGCCTGTCCAACTTGAATCCTATTTCAGCCCAATCTCTACAGTTCACAAAACGGCCAAACCATGTCAGATATAGATGCAAAGACTCCTCTGTCTGCTACTAGCCAAACTCCCCCTATTGCCCCCAACGCAATATCGGATGCAAATGAGCCTCACACCATCGACCCGTCGAGCCTGACCACCTACCAGAAGAAACTCTACGACTTCTTGTACTCCCAAGGATGGACCCATACACAGTGTTCATGTTTCATCGCTCAGATCGAGCCGATGAAAGAAGCCATCTCACGCCTTTTCTACTCGCAAGGCTGTAACACCACCCAAGTGCAGTGTCTCCACGAGCAGTGTGAGATGGGATTTCCAGAGCATTTCCCAGCTCCTAGAGGTGATGCCGACCAACAAGATCTGCAGATGCAGCTGAGACTCAATGAGGAAATGAATCGTCGAAGGGCGATTGGCGAGCGCATGTACCCTTCCATAGGCACCATGGGGAGGGGGGTTGATGAGGAGAGAAGGGCTTGAGTGGGATTCGCTAAGAGCTTTGTGATTCGTATGTATTTTGGTCTTTGTATGTCAACATGGTCAAATGCTCTGCGATGAGAAGGCCTTGCAGGGATATATGTGGATTGAGAACGAGAACAAGGTTGACGATATTTGGGGGAGTATATACGTGTTTCTGAGATACTGGTTCGATTGAGCATGAGGAGTGATGTATGACTTGGATATTCTTAGGACCACTCACTTCTTCGTGAATTGGAAGATGAATTTATTATCAATGCAATGTGGCTCAGTCTGAGGATTGTGGAGGAAGCTTAATTAAACCTTCCAATCTTTAAGATCTAAGATGGTTGTGGGATGGTTTGTAGTAAAGCTGCAAAAATAGTGTGAGTTCTATGAATGGGCGAGTTGTGCCTACATTTGATCTTTATAGCACTGATAGTGGTCTCTTCTTGCCTACACAGTTGGTATAGGTTAGTTATATGGTCAGCTAAGAACTAACGCTGGCATAGTGGCTACCGGCATAAAGCCATGCGGCGATAAAATCATTATCTATACTCAACCGATTTGGCGGTTCACATAGTTTCCGATCTCATTGGGAGTTTTTAGTCACTGAATACTTTCTTGAAGATATTTAACAATTCCTTGCACATAATACCGGGAAGCCATCTTTTGATCTCTACTGCGTTGCGGATGGGAATGAAGTAAAGGAAAGTGGGATGATATATCCAAAATCTTGCGAAGACACAATTAATCTGACGGCTTTGATTTACTATGGAAAAAAGCTCACCAGAAAGGATAAATAATTCTGAGATAGTGTGACTTATCTAGAACTTAATTTCCTCAACTCGGTCAGGGTTGACTATAGTGACTTTAGGGTAAGCTTAGATGTTGATTATCTCGTCCAAATTGCTAGTTGCTGAACATAGTACTCTAATGGATGTTAATTGTCTTTGAGAGTAAGACCGGATCACGGCATCATGTAATCGGACGTCTTCATTCTTTGACTAAGTCCGTAAAATTAGTGTATTATCGACTATTTTTAGTGGTCTCTCCATCAGGACAGCCACTGTTGTTGGATGACTGGTAGTCTGTTTGAAGAACAACAAGCCATCAGATGAGGTTACTTCGCAACGAAGAATGGAAAACTTTCGATATTCTGAAACCATACGGTCATCTGTTATGCTAAACAATCTGAACATAGATAGTATAACTCTATTTATAATTGATCATAGATTGCCAAGTACAGCTGGTTTAGAAGAAGACGAAAATCAAGCTGCTGTGTAGAGAGCATACATTTATGTTAAGACCTCATAAAGCAGTCATTCTCAGTGCCTTGTCAAACAGCAGCATAATATGTTATAGCAAGGTATCGCTGGAGGTTAGTAATGGTGATTGAGTGCCTAGTTGCTTGTAGATGAGTGATGCTAGTGCATGGACACAAGGGTTTGCGTCAGTGGCGGCAAATTGACAGCCAAAAACAGCAGGCCATTATAGTTCTCAAATTACATTTGTTTATAGACTGTAGCTCGTATAATATTTAAAAACTTTCCTACGAAGAGACTAGCAGCGACCCTCAGGGTCTGGAATCAACTGGGTCCGTGAAGTCTGTACCTCTCGGCAACGATACGAAGGGCAGTTCCCTGGTTCGCAAGGTGGTATCTATTCACATTGAATAAGCGACGCCGGAAGCAGCCAGGTCCAACAGGTTTTGAGAAACACATTATCTGGATATTGTCAAAGATCACGAATCATGAAATCGGGAGGTTTCCCAATGCGTCAAAAAGCCACGAAGGAAGCCAAAGCAACACCAGCACCACATGTGACCCTGACCGCTAAAGTTGAAAGACCGAGTGGGTCCTACTCTTTTTCCATGTGGATCTTGGAGATTAGTTTCTTCCTGCTAGTCTGGTCTCTCGGATTTCTAGCTGTTCTTCCATCTTCTCCGAACTGGAACATAGCTTGAATGTGTTCCACCGTTAAGGTGCTTCTTTGTCGCATTAGGGGGTCTGACGGATGTGAGACAACCGTCTCTCGAGCCAGGGTGGCCAACTCACTACTTACTCGCAAGTAACCTTCGAAATGAGCAGCTCCTCTCAACAAATTGCCAGGCTCCAACCGTTCGTTTCGGCGTCTGCGCGAGAAGCTCAAGCGAGGGGGCGGGGCTGTTGCTGGGATTTAATTAAATTAATCTGCTTTTTGCAGTTTAATCTCCTTCCTCCCCACCACCAACGAATGATGCTCTCTCGGAGCACCTCATTCTCTCACACACACGAGATGACAATGTCCGACGCATTGGGTGGTCATCCTGATAGCCAGGGCTCGGGTTCTATCCATGGTCCTCGCGCGGAATGTCTTACTTGATGATAAGGGGAGTAGGGAGAGGAGGGAGTTGCGCGCCCTCATCGCTGCCTCATGGGGGTTGTTGACCCTTGGATCCCTCCCATTCCTTCCATTCTTCAACCAGTTCTCCGGGGCACCCCCTAGCGCGCCCTTGGAACTGTACCGTTAACCTGACAAGTGGCCCTCAAAGAGAAAAGTCCCCAAACGAAAGCGGACAGACCCGTTCGCGGATGGGTTCCTCTGTTCCTGGATTATTGTTTCGGCCTTTTTTGGCGACTTGGTGATCCAGTTTTTATCAACGACCATGTCATACTATTCCTCTTCCGTCGTTTCGAGCTGGTGACTCCTGAACCGAAGAGTAATTTTACTTTAATTTCTAGCTCTCTTTGATTTTTCTGGTTCGATAGCGATCTGTTACTTCACTAACGTATCTCCTACACCTCCGCTCCAAAACCTCATCCTTTTCCTTTCTACTGCGCTCTTGTTTCCCCCCAAGTTGCGGGCGCCTGTTTCAAAGAAAGACATATCCCATTGACCTCCTCCACCGCGGCCCTCTGCCGAGCACGAACTCCCCAATCACGCCCGCCTGTGGCTGCTCCGCGGGCCGTTGTGCTCGCCCGCCATTGCCCTTCCTGCCGGCATCCCTGTCGGTCCCGACTCCCCGCTCATGTCGTTGTCGCGATCACCCTCTCCCCACCCCGCGGGAGCAGGATGGTCTAGTCCTGGACTCACCTCGCCCAGTGGCTCGACGACGCCTCACAATGGCTTTCTGTCGCCAAATCCTATAGGTGCCAGCGGCATCTCCTGGGCCGCCGCCAAAGCGAAAAGCGACGAGGTACGAGGCTACCCGTCTTTCTCGACAAAGAACAGCGGGTTCTTCTCGCGCTCAAGACGCCAGCTCTCTGCTACTCTGCCGCGCTTTCGTCTAGGCTCGGGGTCTCCGAATGGCTATGTCGATAAGGATGAGTTTGGCCGGGGGCGGCCGCTCTCCCCAGCTACGGGCTGGCGCTTGGGATTTGGCAGGTCAGTTCTGCGGCGCAGACGATCGCGCTTGCTCGTGGCGCTGATCTTTCTTTTGCTGGGCTATATGTTTTTCGGAGCGTGTAAGTGAATCGCATACGTATGGAATGAAGCCTGTAGGTGGCTAATCAATTGCAGCTCTTCTTCAAAAGTATCGGCGCTCTCCGCTAGGCGGTGGGCGCAAGTTCGTGATCATACTAGAATCTAACATAGAGGGCGGCGTGATGGAGTGGAAGGGAGCGCGCGAATGGGCGATCGAGCGCAACAGCGTGTGGAACAAGAAGAATTATGTTGAGCGATGGGGCTACGAATTGGAAACCGTCAACATGTTGGCGAAGAAGCGGTATTCGCACGAATGGCGCGAGAGCTGGGAGAAGGTGGACCTTATCCGGGAGACGATGCGAAAACACCCTGATGCTGAATGGTATGTTTGCCGTATTCTTTTGGTGAGCGTCACTGACATGTGCAGGTTTTGGTGGTTGGACCTCAGCACTTGGATCATGGAATACTCTTACTCGTTACAGGACCATATATTCGACCGCTTGGATGAAATTATCTACCGGGACATCAATGTCTACAACCCGTTGAACATCAGTCATCCGCCAGACGACGCTTATCTGGACGAGGTGTCTCGATCGCCAAACGGAGACGGGGATCCGTCATCGGTACATATGCTATTGTCGCAGGACTGTGGGGGCTTCAACCTCGGCTCTTTCTTCATTCGGCGCTCTCTCTGGGCCGACCGCCTGCTGGACGCGTGGTGGGACCCAGTCATGTATGAACAGAAACATATGGAGTGGGAGCACAAGGAGCAGGATGCGATGGAATATCTGTATGCGACGCAGCCGTGGGTTCGCAGCCACGTTGGCTTCCTTCCCCAGCGATATATCAACTCGTACCCCCAGGGGGCATGTGGAGACGAGATTGACCCGAATGTCCACTACCAGGAAGATGAAAGAGACTTCCTGGTCAACATGGCCGGGTGCCAGTATGGACGCGACTGCTGGGCCGAGATGTACCAGTACCGTGAGATCAGCAAGCAGCTGAATCTGACATGGTGGGAGCGGATGAAGGACAAGTTGAACGGCCTTTACGAGAAGCTTTTCCCTGGCGAGGAGCAACAAGTTGAATAGTCGTTGCTGGATACGACATTTGCTTTGCTTTGATGTTACTGCAGATGATGACTGGTCTGAGCAATGACCATGTAAAATGCGGACTAATAATGACCTGTGACGGCGTATGGAAGGATATTATGTTTTTGGCTGATGCTGATTGCTGATTTGTGTACTTGGCGAGGCGTTTGGTGTTAGCGATAGTTATCTAGACTTAGTAGCTCATCTATGACCTTTTACTGTACTCTCACCGATTCATAATCTCTAACAAACAAGTATACAACCGTAATTGCAGTGCACAACCACCCACTCACAACCCGCTTACTAATAATAATCAACGCACGTGACCAACGCAGCATATCCGACCGCCCACACCCCCCAGCCAATCAAACCACCGCAATTGGAACTCTCGCGACCTCCGGAATCGAACTTGATACAATCCGACCTCCGAATATCACCTTACTCCCTCCCTCCGACCTACGTCCCAAACCTTCGCCAACCAAAAAAACGAAAGAAAGAGAAATAAATTGCAAAATGCCCACCCCGGAATCCGCCTCCTTCCTGGCCAAAAAGCCCACGGTGCCGCCTACCTACGAGGGCGTCGACTTCGAAGACAACGTCGCTGTCCACAACGCCCGCGACGCCATTATCCGTGAACAATGGGTCCGCAGTATGATGTCTCGTCTGGTTGGAGAGGAATTGGGCAAGTGTTATGCTCGTGAGGGTGTGAATCATTTGGAGAAGTGTGGGGTTTTGAGGGGTGAGTTTATCCTTTATTCTTTCCTTCCTTTTTGAAAAAGGATGAGGTGTGGTGATGATGGGGATGAATATATGCTAATTTGGGTTTTGGGGATACAGAAAAGTACTTCGAGTTGCTGGGTGAGCGCAAGATTAAGGGTTACTTGTTCCAGGAGAAGAATTACTTTGCTGGGGAGGGAAATAAGTCTGCTTAGATGAGGGTTGAGGGTTGAGGATGGGTTGAATTGGATTGGTTTCTGTGTTATGTTATGTGATATACAATATATGCATTGTGTTTTATTTTCATACTCTTTTCTCTGGGTTTGGGTTGGGGTGTGGGGAGTTGTGATTGTATGATATGTTTTGAGATGGGTGGGTATGGACTCTATCTCTTGATTTATACGGGTTGCTGTGTCTGGATTGCTGTCTGGATTGGTGCTACGTATGCGGCATGCCTTATGGTATGGTATTGTATAGAAAAGCTCAAGATCAATAATAGGCACTGTCACTCCGCTCCGGTACTGTTCCCGGCGTATACACACGCGCTACACTGGCCGCCTCTTCATCACTATCCTCGACATCACTCCCCGGTCCAAAGTCGTCCTCCGCCGGCGGCGCACGCATGCGCACCAACTGCTCCTCATCCAGAGAGGGGATCTTGTACGGCGCTGGCGCGGAATGAATATCTCGACCGGAGGGCAAGTTTGCTAGCAGGTCCGCAGAGGGTGGAATCAGCTGAGTATTAATCTGTGCTCAGCAGTTAGCAACATCAGTCCAAACCAATGATGTGGATATCACCAACCGTATCATTCATTCGCACCCACTTCGTCTCCAGCATCTCAATCACTCGACTCTCCTCCTCCCGACCTGCATTATCCCCCGGTCCGAGCTCGCCCTTCTCCGTCCGATCCCGACTGCCCGCATCCTTCTCCATCCGTCTCTCCTCCCGCCGCTCCATCCATCCCTGCTTCAGCCTCGACAGCCCGGTCCGGCTCTTCGTACTCGTCTCCTTCGCTTCCGCTCCACCTGTCCCAGCTCCCCTGACCCCCAATGCCCCCTTCGCTGCTTTCAACCATGCAATTCCCTCCCCGATCTTCCCGGACAACTCCGCGTCCACCCCGAAGAACCGACAGGCTCTCGCCCGCGCAACCCGTCCCAGCACCCGTGTATACCCTAGCAGATCATCATCAATCCCCGTCCGCCCCTCTGACCGGACAGATCCCAGCCCCGCAGCAGCTTGCTCCGCGTACTCCGCAGCCCGGATACATAATCTCGCGAATAGGTGCGCGCGGACCTTGGGGATCTCCGGCGCGCGGACCATCCAGTCCTTGTCATTGGGGTTGCGCGCCTGAATACAGGCGGCGACGTAGGAATCGTCCTTCAACACAGCGAGGAGGGTAGCTTCCGCGAGGGCGAGACAGGAGAGGGCCGCTTGCGTGGCGGGGTCGAGGTCCGGGAGGGTAGAGGTTCCATTTTTGTTGTTATTGCAGATAGAGTGGGCTGCGGTTGCGAAGGAGGGCGAGGAAGCGAGGAGCGAATGTACGGCGCTGGCTTGGAGGAGGTGTTTGGTGGCTGTTTGGATGGCGGCGGTGCGCTGTTCCGGTGTCGGGGTCGTGGATGCGTAGAGGGTGCGGGTGACGCCGATACGGGCGAGGGAGTTGAGCACGTAGCTGAGGGTGGAGAGGACAAAGGCTATTTCGAAGTCGAGACCCTGTCCTTGGATGCGGGTGGTGGTGGGCCGCTGTTTGAGGGAGAGCGTGGTGGTGGGGTTGGTGAGGGTCGGGCGCCAGGCGGATGTGATCTCGGTGCGGAGGGTGATTTCAATTTCTTCGGTGGGAGATGTGTCGCCGGGTTTGCTGCTGAGGCCGTTGGAGAGAGCGAGGAGGTAAGGGAGGTAACCGGTTATGGTGGTGAGGAGAGTCTGCAGGTGGGCGTCTTGCTGCGGACCGCGGGGTAAACGCTTGTGTGCTTTGAGAGCTTGTCGGAGAGCATGGCGGGCGGTGGTGGCTGCTTGGGGGAGAGAAGGGTGGGTGCTGGAGGTAAGGAAGGTCTGGAAGGAAAGATGGGAGGTGGAGGGTAGTGTGAAGGCGTAAACCATGGTGATGGTGGTGGTGATTGGGGTGTTGAAGCTGGAGTGGAGTAGGAAGGGGAGAGCTGGAGTTGAGTTGGAGGTGAAGATCTCCGCGGCAGCCAAGAAGCTCGTTTGCATTGGAACCTACGGGAAAAGCACGTCGGGGTCAATTCGGGCCTATTGGCCGAACTCATTAACTCATGTGGCTTATACGCTGTTATGCTGTAGATACATGATTTCGCTTGCAGGATGGCTTTCCATCCCTCATTCGTCCCGATTGCCTTCTTCGCACATGTTTCAAGGCGTAGATGCTGTTTTCTGACTCGGTGGATAATGATAAATCCAGCCTGCTCTGGCCCTAAATTGTGACAACCCGTCTGTAGCAATAGCAAGTGATATGTTGATAATCCCAAGCTGGTGGACGATCCGCTGGTCATTGTGGTCAAGCTGGGCCGGCCAGCTGTCCCAATGCCAGATACGGTGTAGGCGTTGTGATGCAGCTAGGCGTCTTGAGTCTGGCTTGTCGGGCTGCAGACAACCGACAGCCTTATTGCAGTGTATTGTGAAGTGGTCTCGCTTTCGAACAACCTGTCTGCGTCTCATCACACATCCATCCCTTCGCCATCGGACAGGTTGCTCGGCGCACTACTGACACCAGACGAATCGCTGTCAGCCATGTACGGCGCCCGCGACCGCATCTGTGAACCCCAGTCTTGGAGACTGGGCGCGCCACCCTCGATGATGATAGGATGCTCGTCGGCGCTCTTTCCGAGCACGGTGCCCGCATATCTCGACTCTTCGCCGGTTTTGCTGTGTTTCTTCTTCAATGCCGTCAAAAAGTCTTCTTTCTCGAGAGCGTCCGCATCAACCATGTCCCCTTCACTGGGCACAAATCCAGCAATCCGTCGAATCTCCCGGTTGGCCGGCCCAGTGAACCACGACAGAAAGCCTTCTAAACCTCGCATATCTTCTTCTCCCTGCCAGTCCTCCTCCCATTCTCGCAGCTGGGGTCGTAGCGCGCCTGCGTCTTGCAGCGCTTGGTAGATATCTTCGAGGACCGGAACAGGGTCATGTGGATGAGCGTTTGCAGCATGGGCAGTCGTAGATGAAGCAAGGATCATGATGTATTGAGCGGTAAGGTCAGCGAGGGTGTCTAAAACGGACGGTCGTGTCGCATGAAAGCCTGCTGCGCGCAGGATCTGGATTATTGGCGGGCGGAGAAGAGCGTTGTGTAGATTGGAGCCAGACATGTTGGCGTATGGGTTGTAGATGAAGAACAACGATAGAGACGTCAAGAAGAGCTTTTCAGCTCGCAGACGAGGATTATATAGCTAAGAATATGAGCGGCTCACTGCGTCGCTATTGTTGAGGTCGAGTGTTAGGAGATGAATAGGAAGCAAAGAGAGGATCAATGGCTGAATGGATGGGCCTCTTACTGCCTTTTCGGGGTCTTCCGCCTTCTGGCTCCGCCCTCGAGTCTTCGTCTCCGCTGTAACACAGCAAGCTTCACTTCACCCCATCCATCTGCCAGCCTCCTACCATCTCTACTTTGACCTGATTTCGCTCACTTACACATCGCATCTCCACCGACTTGGTGGTCACTTCTCGCCATGTCGGACACACCCCGTCCATCCCTCAAGCTCACCTTCGGGAAAAAGAAGGCGCCCGAGGAAACACCCCAGAGACAACCTGCTGCACCTCCTCCGCCAACAGAGACCCCTCAACGCAAACTCACGCTCAAGATCGCCCGTAGACCGGCACCAGAAGCGCCGCCCGAGGATGATAAACTCAAGAAAAAGAAGAAGACTTCGAAGAAGCGCCCAGCAGAGGGACCCGCGTTACAGGAACCATCCACCACGGTCGCGACAGCCCAGCCGTCTGGACCTAAACGCCTAAAATTAAACCCCTCGAAGAAGCCGGGGGTCCAGTCGCTCCGTATCAAGAACAAGGGGCTGGTCCCCAACCGACCAGTGGGTGTTGGCTACGACTCGGAGGCATCCGACACGGAAATCGACCCCTCGATCGAAGAACAATTCATTCTGCGCATGCTGCCCGGAGAGGATTGCGAATACCTACAACGCGCCATTGCTGAACGCCGGTTCGACCGTTCGGAGATCTCTTTCAAACCACTCACCCGTGAGGGACGACGTGCCGTCTTCAAGATCCGCGATCATCAATACGCCGCAGCGCTGGTCGACTTGCCATGTATCATCGAAGGTATGAAGAGTTGGGACCGGCGTGGGTGGTACAAATCTGCAGATATCTGCCAGATGCTTCTGATCCTTGGCCCGGTTGCCAATGAACAAGAGGCCATGGACTACCCACTCCCCTCGGACATTCTACACCCAGATGACAAGACACTGCAATACCCACATGGTCTCACACCACCGTTGCGATGGGTGAGAAAGCGCCGTTTCCGGGAACGAATCAGCACGCGGACTATCGAGCAGGTCGAGAAGGCCGTCGAGGATCTCATCGCCCAGGATGAGGCTGCCGTGGCACCTATCCGCTATGAGCTGGTTGATAAGACAGCATTGAACCGGGCTGAGGGACTGGTCCAGAGTGGAGATTACGACTACGAAGACGAATACGATGATGAGCAGGATGCTGAGGGTGAGATGGAGGAAGGCATGGAAGACGGCGGTCTGTTCGATGACTTTGAAGACACTCTCGCTGCCGAGATGGAGGCTGCCTTGGCTGCCGGCGACGAAGGCGAGGCAGGCGCTGCGGCCACAGCATCTGGAGCAGAGCCACCATCAGATGCTGGAGTATACCAAGCGGGCACACCGATGGCAACGAAGCCGTCCACGCCAGCGCCAGAATCATCCGGTGATGAGAGTGACGGGTCTGACGATGGCGACGAACCGGAAGACGAGCTGGACGATGAGCAACTCGAGCAACAGCGGCAGATGCAGCAGCAACGCGAGGAGATTGCCGAACTGGAAGCACTGATCCGGGCCGAGACGGCGAAGTGGGAGAAGATGCAGAACGCCATTTTGAAGGGCAAACTGGCCAAGCGCATTCACGATCTGAAACAAGATCTATCACTGAAGAAGGTGTCTATCGGTGAGGGCGATGATGCTGATGGTTAATCAAACACCTTACCCATATGTCTGCACGCTAATAGCTATTGATCGATTTCTGATACCCCATTACATACCATCCATTCCATTCCATTATCCTATACATCCTATCCTATCCTATCCTATTCCCTCCCTATAATCTACCAAAATCACCCTAAATAATAATACCACAATCAAACAACCCTCCCCTTAGACCCCCTACTCGCCGCCCCCACCACATCCACCTCCTCATCCTGCCTCAACTTCCTACTCCTCACCTCCTCCGGCTCCGCCGGACTCTGTCCCACCCGATCCCCCAACATCCTATCATGCATCTCCCTCTTCTGATCCAAATCCGCCATCTCGCCCTTCTCGTACCCCGGCGCCCCCGGCCCCTCGGCACTGCCTACCGCGCCCGCATGCGCCCCCGCTTGTGCTCTGGCTCTCGCATCCGCCGACTTGCCCTGCACGGCCCGCGCGATGTCCCCTTCTGCGGGCTGCTGCTCGACTCCGTACTCGGTGTCGAGGGTGGAGGCTGCGTTGCGCATGGACTCTTGGTGTTTGCTGGAGTTAGAGTTGGAGTTGGAATAGGAGGGCTGGGAGGCTGCGTTGCGGGTTATGGGGGACAGGGCGTCGCCGCGGTGCCGGGGGAGGTGGTCGTATTGAGATGGGTTTTGGGATGAGGATTGGGAAGTGCGTTGCTCGGAGGGTGTGTGGGTTACGGGGTTGGTGGGTTGGTTGTAGGCGGCTTGTTTGGGGGGTTGGGGGGGTTGTTGGTGGTGGGTTGATTGCATTGTTGGTTGGATTGGGGGTTGTAGATTGGTTTGAGTGATTGATTGGAGTTAATGGATGGATGTTATTGTGTGACTGTATGTGGTTGGGGTGGAGGAGTTGGGATGTGGTGATGGTGATGGTGGTGATGGTAAGTAACTAAGTATAAGAGAGCTGTAAGGGGATGACGTCAGTGATGATGTGATGTCAATTTTAAGGGAGTGAAGAATAATTGGTTCTTGAGTAGATAGTGTAGATAGGTTCTATGAACTGCATGGACTGTTTTATTCTATGGAGTTAGTGGTATTGTTCGCGCTGGAGGTGATTAAGAAATTGATGATTTCGCTAGGGGATCTGCTAGTGGTCTGTTACTTGGCCGTTAGCTGTCATATTCCCATCTGGCTGGGTTGGAGGGCCCATTATAGGACTGCGGGATCAACCAATAACTTAAAGATGTTATTATATAATAAAAGCGGTTAGTGGAATTGAAGATGTCAAATTTGGTATACAGCGAAAAAGTGCTTCACAGTAGCTGATCGATGGATGGGTGATGAGGGTATGTGGGGATGACGGATACAGCTGTGATGGATGGAGCTTACGCCGTTGGGATTTAACTACTATGACTAACGAACTATTTGCATGGGATCATCGCAGTCAGATGAGTGCTACCCCAAAAAAAAGCAAATATACACATACTCCCCTCAGCATAAGTATACAATCTAGACAAAAACATAACCCACATGCAATAAACCCAATCGGGAACATACTTCAAGCGCATGTGATACCGCGGGAATCACTCACTCCTTATTCTTACTTTCCCCGGATTTAGCAAACATTACAATTTAACGATTACTGATCACAACCAACCCTCAAAGTATACAAGACCACCATTCCATCTTCTCTCCTCCCGGCTTCATGTCACACACGTACACAGCCACCAACGAGTAACGAGCAACAACCCTTGCTCACTGTACCACCACCAGCATCATGTCCACCACCACATCTCCACTCTTCACCCTCCCCATCTCTTCCACCTCCGGCTCCATCACCTGCACCAACCCATCCCCCGATCAACCAACAATCTACCTCCTCACCTTCACCTCGCCCCCAGATAACCGCCTCACCCCGACCTTCATCGACACCTTTCTCCTGGCCCTCGACATCATCGAACACCGCTACCAAAAGGGTGTGTTAATCACCACCAGCGGGATTCCCAAGTTCTACAGCAATGGACTAGATCTCGAACTTGCGCAATCCACAGAGGGGTTTCTGGATAAATGGCTGTGGAAGTTGTTTCGTCGACTATTAACGTATGATGATCTATCCCCCTTTAATCTTACCACTAACAAACATGAACCGTACTAATATATATATATATATCTATATGTGGTATACAGCTACCCCATGCCCACCATCTCCCTCCTAAACGGCCACGCCTTCGCCGGCGGCTTCATGCTGGCCATGTACCACGACTACCGGATCCAGAATCCGAGTAAGGGCTTTCTGTGCATCAACGAGCTCGAATTCGGGGTTCCGTTGCAAGCGCCCATGATGCATGTCTTCCGGGAGAAGTTGACGCCGAACGTCTGTCGGGATGTTGTGCTCGAGGCGAAGAGGTTTCCTGGGCCGGAGGCGCTGCGGGTGGGGATTGTGGATGGTCTGGGAGGTGTGGAGGAGACGGTGAAGTTCGTGAAGGAGAGGAAGTTGGTGTTGATGCCCAAGACGGAGATTTACGGGGTCATGAAGGAGGAGATGTATCGGAGGTTGTTGGGGGTGGTGGATGATCATTCGGGAAATTTGGAGTGGAGGGAGAGGGTGGAGGAGAGGAAGGGCGAGATGGAGGATGTTGGGAGGAAGAGTGTGGAGGTTTGGGAGGGGAGGAAGGGGGCGAAGTTGTGATGTATTATTGCATGTGGCGTGCTAGATATATAGATGATTTATGCTAAGGCTCTATATAGAACATGGGGTGATGGGAATGGTGGTATTTACTCATTCTCTAAGAGGCTGGAGTTACTGCCAGGCTGACTTATATTGAATCTACAAGGCTGACCACAGCCGATGAGAAATACGAGATGTGAGACATGCTCCCTAGAAAGGCAACAGCTAAGGAAATACTATAAGAGATGAACTGCTATTGCCAGGAACTAACTTCTGATACTCGTGAGAGAGAGAGAGAGAGAGAATGGCAAAGTGCCTTTAATTCCTTTTCCTTCATAGCTGTCTCACATCAATCACTTCAACTTCCTATACTATCCCCACCAACCTACATTATTGAAGAGAGCATACCTAATACAAATAGTACTCACCCAGTAGACTTCTAGTATTATTCTCTATTATTCTATCTTCTCCAAGGTAATCCAACCCCATATCCAATTCCCTAACCTCATTCTCGGTAACATATCACAACACAGTGAGCTCAAGGTGAACTAATTGTATGCATACTCCGCCACACTGACTTCACGCACTTTTGTTTCATAAACACAGCATGATGGGCTCGCTCGCTCGCTTGCTTGCCTTCTTTAGTGAACTTCAATTCACCGCGCTGGGATGGGGCCTTGCCCTCGCAAAGTGAGACTTATACAAGATTTTTTAATGGCCGGTTTGGCAGGCGATCACGCTTACTACATCATTTAGATATTGTCTCGTTGTTGACTTCATAGTATCTACAAGTGTACTAGGTAATTCTACTTATCTTTATCTTCGGTTTTCATTACAAAGTTTGCTAAATCTTTCCATTAGATACAGCTTGATTTCAACATGGAGAGCAGAAAACGCAAGGCGGATGAGCTGGATCCCAGTACTGATGATGTTAGGAGTGTGCCTGAGGTCGATCCTAGCACTTCTGCCAGCGTGCCTAAAGTTGAACCCACTATTGCTGACAGCGTCCCTGGGGGCAGACCCATCACGGCTGATGGAATTTCCAAAGTTGATCCCGCCATGGCCGCTTACATTGAGAAGAGACGCAAAGAAAAGGATGAGTGGCTGGAACGGCAGGGACAGGCACTGTGGAAGAACTACTGGACCGTGAGAGAACAACAGCTCTCCAGGCCTTTCGGGCCGCTGCCGAGCTATCCAGAGGTGATCGAGGTTTGGCAACGTGATGAGGTAAGAAAGGACATGGACGAGAAGTCGGTTGTGGTGGGCGAATCATTGACGGGCAGTAGGTGGACCAAGAAGCTGCATCCTCGGAATTCCCTCCAAATGGAATCACTGATAAGAACCCTCCTCTTTCTTACGACGTCATCGCAAGTATCCTCTGGAAAACCAAGGGCCATTGTCCCCAGGCACAGGCGTGGTTGAAGAGCCATGAGATGAGCAGATTCATGCGTGCTAATGTGATCGTGAGGCACTATGGACATGAGAATCTGAGAAAGAAGGCGCTCCATAACATGTACCAGAGGAATCTTGGTCTGCAGAAGGCGGCCAAGGAGTCCGCGCAAGTGATGGATGATGGGAAAGAAAACCAGGAAAATGAGGCTACCCCTTGGGAAAGAATCTTGACAGCTCATGACAGACTTCGAAAGGCGATGGGTGAACCTGAGGTGTTTGCGCATGAGATTCTGCTGTGGTAGCAATTCCCTGTCACACCGTCAGTTTTGCCGGCACATGTCAGTAGGCGGCGGACGTACCCTCTGATTCTGTCTCTTTGAATTACGTAGTAAGATGAATGTCCACTCATGTACCAAAGCTTGACGGTTCACTGGACGGTTCTTGTAACTAGCTTTTCCAATAATCACTGATTATCAAGTTTTCTTGTTTCTGTTGGTGCCTTTAGCCTTTCCCGGACTCTCTAGTTTGTCTACTAGAGGCCGATACGGCGAAGCCAGAACATGCTCCGGCGCTCTTTGAGAACTATCGTCGCGTCTGGGTTCACCGGACGACGGCCGCCTCCGCTGCTCCTCGTGCATCTTATCCAACGGTTCGCCCACGATCTGGTACTTGTTCCAGTTGATGGGAGGCATGCGGACAACATTCTGCGGCGTGGGCAGGGTCCCTAGCCCAGAGTAAACGCCTCTCTTCGGACTCTCTACCTCCTCGTCCTCCGAGTCTTTGTCATGAGTGAAGTTGATGAAAGCCCCTGTATCCTTCGCCGACAGATTTCCCGCTGCCAGTTCGCGGGCGAACCCTTCTGGATCCTCAGCTGCGGCCTTCTTGAACTTTTCTAGAGTCTGAATATCCCGCATGCTTTGCTGCTTCTGGAGCTGAAGGATAGAGATCGCGGATCGCAGAGCAATGGCATCTGGGTTCTCGCTCTCCGAGATCGGGACGGCGGCCGGCTCGGGCGCGAACACGGGGGCTGCAGCCGGCGGGGTAAAGTCCGCTGATGAACCATACGGGGGCACTCTTGTTGTTGGCGAAGGCGACGCAGCAGGAGGAACAATAGGGTGAGGAGCGCCGTTCCCCGCGGCGGCGTTCGTGACAGGCACAAGATGGGCAAAGACGGGAGTCACGGGCGAGTAAGGCGGGCGCGGCGGAGTACCTGGCCGATCAGGCTGGTTGCTTTGGTTCTCCTGCGAAGGCTGCATTGCGCAAAGTTGAAGAGAGCAGGAACCGGAGGGGTTGTTGAGGAATGATACGTGGTAGGAACAGAAGGATAACCTGATCCAACGGGTTGCTGGCTGGATCGATGCGATGATCGACGGCAATGACGTCTGTGCCTGCAACTGAGAGGTTTAAGGGATGGTAATAGCGGTGACGGTCAAGAAGCAAGTCTGATGAAAGTGACAAGTCAAGAATACTGCTCGTATGAGACAGTCAATGACAGTTCATGTTGGACGAAGCGATGCTTGAGTCAGAAGAGCGATGGAAGGTGCTGGATGCGCTTATCGAAGGCGATTATCGGGGCTCCAGTGCGGAGTCAATCAACCCCAGTCACTTTGCTTGTTGGTGGCTGGGAAATGCATGCTGATGGCAGTTGGTTGGAAAGTGCATCTCCACAATACATTTATTGTATCGACTATTCTTGTATAGTTCTCAATGAATAACCAGTGAATCTCTATTCAGCAGCAGACAATAAGAAGTAAATAAATAAACAGTTAAATGAATCCATTTAGTGAATGTGTCTATTTTAGGAAACCATATGGCCTGATCTAGTGGCCTGATTGATGCCTGCAGATTTTTCACCGCCAAATTTATTCGAAAAATTAAAGGCAAAATCCGCATTCCGTTAAGATTGAACCCTCTCCAGAGTCTATTCAAACTCGCATTCCTTCCCCTTTTTCTCACAATGAAGCGCAAGACTGATGGAAGAGAATCCCTCGGCGGCAAAGACCAGCCCGAGTCCAAGAAGCGCGCTTTGTCGAGCGAAGAAGCCGCTGCGCGCTTCCGTGACGGCTTGTTCGAGCCGTCGGTCCTGAAGGACTATACCGAGCAATATGCCCAGTCTGCTCCGTATGCTGCCCATCATACATCCTGACTGGCAGACAACATGAGCGAAGCTAACCCCAAGTCCAAAGGTACAAGCATGGTGTCATTCACCCCCTCATCGAGCCCTCCCTCTTGCGCGCCGTCCGCGACGAAATTCAGGCCCAGGTGCAGTTCACCGAGAAGGAAACCGATATCTACAAAATCTTCCAATCCGGCGACCTGGCCAACCTGGACGGTCTCGACGATGCCTCTCTTGCGAAATTGCCCTCCATCCTCAAGCTGCGCGACGCCATGTACTCTGCCCGCTTCCGTGAGTTCCTCTCGAAGGTCACCGGCTCTGGAAAGCTGAGCGGACAAAAAACCGACATGGCCATCAACGTCTACAACGAGGGCTGCCACTTGCTTTGCCACGACGATGTCATCGGAAGCCGACGTCTGTCCTACATTCTCTACCTCACCGACCCCGACCAACCCTGGCAGGCCGAATGGGGTGGCGCACTGCGTCTGTACCCCACGACAACCAAGAAGGATGCCAACGGCGACGACGTCCTGATCCCCAGCCCGGACTACTCTCTCAGCATCCCTCCCGCGTTTAACCAGCTCAGCTTCTTCACCGTCCAGCCCGGAGAGAGTTTCCACGACGTCGAAGAAGTCTACCACCCGAAAGACAACGAAGACAAGTCCAAGAAGCGCGTGCGCATGGCTATCAGCGGCTGGTTCCACATCCCGCAGGAAGGCGAAGACGGCTACGAAGCCGGTCTGGAAGAGAAGCTCGCTGAGCGCAGTAGTCTGGCCCAGCTCCAGGGCCGCGGCGACATCTACGACCTCCCCCAGCCCAAGACCGTCGACTGCGAGAACGAGGACGAGCAACAACCCGAGGAAGGAGGTAAAGGCAAGGGCAAGGCGAAGGTAGAAGAGGAGCCCACGCCCGAATTCACAGAATCCGACCTCGCCTTCCTGATCCAATACATCGCCCCATCCTACCTCACCCCCGACATCGCCGAGGAAATGTCCGAGACCTTCCAAAACGAGTCGTGTCTCAGTCTGGAACGATTCCTTTCGGAGAAGTTTGCGACCCGTGTTCGGACCTACATTGAAGAGCAGGAGAAGAAGGGCCTGCCCAGTTCCTCCGACGAGATCCTCGCCGAGACCGGATGGACGGTCGCCCGTCCTCCCCACAAACAGCGCTACCTGTTCCAGCAACATGGCACCGCGACCCAGGACCAGAAATCTCCGATCCAGGAACTCCTCGACGACCTTTTCCCTTCCCGGGCATTCCGCAAGTGGCTCGCTCTGATCACCGGTGCGGACCGTATTACCAGCTACGACTACCTGGCGCGTCGCTTCCGCAGAGGCCAGGATTACACCCTGGCCAGTGGCTATGATGGAGAACAGCCCCGTTTGGAGCTGTCGCTTTGCTTGACGCCCACTCCGGGCTGGGAGAAGGAGGACGACGACGACGAGGAGGAGGAGGAGGAGGAGGATCAGGATCAGGATCAGGAGATGGGCGAGGGCTCATCGGAGGAGCAGCAGAAGAAGGCGGTCAAGCCGAAGAAGAAGAAGGATGAAGGAGCCGTCGCCAACGGCGACGCCGAGGAGCCTTCGGTGGGTGGATACGAGATCTACATGGCCGGCGACGACGAGGATGAGGGCGATGCAGCGATCTACCGGTCCGCAGGCGCCGACGATGACGATGACGGCATTCTCTTCAGCACTGCCGCCGGATGGAACCGACTCAGCATTGTGTTGCGGGACAGCGGTACCCTGAAGTTCGTCAAGTATGTCAGCGAGGCTGCCAAGGGCGACCGTTGGGATATCACGGGTAACCTGGGGGTGGAGTTTGAGGATAACGATGACGAAGATGAAGACGACGAAGATGTGGATGATGATGACGTTGAAGAAGAGGAGGATGAGTGAACGAAACATCTTCCCGAAACAGGAAAAAAAAGTCGTATATTTTCCCCCATTGTACATACTACGCAACATGATGAACCCCAAAACAAAAATTTACACACAAAAATAGATACAATCATCTCCTACGTAGGATCTACTCCTGTCTGCCTACAGTAAACGCCCCGAAACACACAGCCACCCATATCGCATCCCACACACCGATTTCAATCCAATCAACAATGAAACCACAAGTAGTAGATAGGCAGCAACGAAATATACCCAAAACACCGCAGGATTGATCCCTAAACCTTAAGTACATACTCTGTACGATATACGATCCTAGTTGTTTCGCACCGCCACCCCAGCAATCGATCCTTCGAAAACAACACTTACGAACAATGAACGCCCGACACCCCACTTACTTTGGAAAAAAAGGAATGATTCGATGCCTTTCTACGAGAGTACCCTGGAAATGGCATTATATCTCCCTGGTGGAGTAGTGCACATACGCACACTCAATATTTATTTGTTTTGTGGACTCGTCATATACTATTATAATTATTTGGTAAGTAGGTAGAGGAGCATGTGGGGGTAGTTAAGTAGTAGTTGGTACGGAGTAAGTAGTAAGGACGGATGATCCGATCCTGCGGTGATTTGCGCAGGGTATATAAGTAGTTCTATATATATTTAGTATACAGTAGTATAGTAGTAAAGTGGTTATTGATATATTGTTAGACAGGTAGTGTCGGTGGGTGATATTTTTGGAAACTAGAAGGGGGAGGGGGGGAAATTGATGCAGGGGATGGATGGATAGTTCATGTCTGGCAGTATTATGGTCAAATTGTATCTAATATAATACATACTAGATGGATCGACCTTTAATGAATATGTTGTAGTATGTGTACATTAGGGTGGTGTAGTGGATTGTTGGTCTTCAGGTTATTATTTCTGTCACTTGGTTGGATATAATAGTAATGGACAGTAATTGAGGAGGGAGGGATCTTTGGTGTTTTATCCTCATAGTGAATGTAAGAAAGAGTAAGTCTATAATTCTACTTGGCGATGCTGAGAAGGGGTTTATTGATAGTGTGAGTCTGTGGGTATTTCATTGCAATTGTAGCTACTTTTCCGATCTACAATTTACTTACTATTTTATATCTAATGAAGTCTGGACCAAAGGAAGCAAATACAGGTAAAATCATAACAATTTACCTCGTATACGGAGTGTATATTTTCCTTTTCAATGATCGGATGTAGCGATCTCCGAGCTATTCATTCCCCTGGGTACAAGGATATACGCCAAAGAATCCTTAAATCTACTAATGATACACATCACAAATAAGTCACGATCATGAGACCACTCCCACTTCCCCAATTTTCGTTCTATCCCTGATTGATTTATTCCAACTAAAGTATACTTGCTTATTCCTCTATACACTTATACTTTTTCCTCCTAACAAATCACCCGCGGAATCAAGTCCGCTGCAGATTGATTGGCCATCCGTCACAGGAGCTATTTAAACCTTCTTTTTCTTTTTGTTTCTGATTCCCAAGCCCGGGCATTGGACTTTTGGAATCTAGATCTTGCATTTGCTTGGAGCAAGCCATACTGTAAGCCATATTGCATAGTTCGTTTGTCACTTGGGAAGTAACTATTTACTGGAATACCACCAATCATTCGTGAGAAAAAAATTTCAAATTCGAGCCGACTTATACTTATGCCGCAGATTTGTGATGAACGGTCCCAAAATTAAGACTCCTCATTCAATCCCAACTATTCAATTTAGCATGCATCGGGGTTTGAAAAAGATGTGCTGAATACGACTCCGTAGGGCTACATTGACACCTGATTGGTGGATTGCTGTAACCAGGAGGCGTTTCAGAGATCCAGCCTGTGCCTTATTTCGAGGCACAAACTGCGGATCCCAGCTGAGCTGAGACCCTATCACCGGAGAGCCTCACCGTGGCCCATGGTTTCTTGGGTGTCAAAGTTCGGCTTTTGGGGCTCACATACTTTGTCCTATCTTGGCAACATTTCCCTAGTTGATGAGGAAGGGTTAACGTCTCGAAGGATTGCGGGGTGGGACGTGCTTTCTTGCTTGAAACGGAATGTTCAACGGAGTCCGGGTTTGGGGTTCATGGACGAGGCTGAGTCTGCCAATCAGTGACATTTCCGCAATAACTACTCCCTACTTGCCTTAATAAGACACTGGAAGCCGTGCTCCGTAGGGCTAAGGGGTGGGAAGGAATTGGAATGGCTGAAGCA